CCCAACCTCTCGGTCGCGTTTATTTCGTTAATGAGCGAGCGAATGGGCGGGCAGATTAATGAGGCCGTGCCTCGCGGCTGACGCCACGACGCGCCGAATATCGACGGGGACGACCGAGATACGCGGCGGCGGGATAGATGGTGGGTAGATACACGTGATCTGCTCCTAACTCTAACCCGCGACCGTCCCCGCGCCTTCGCCCCCGCGCGCCGCGTCGGTCGACCCTCGGTGAGTTACGAGGGCTTGGAAATGGACATCCATATACCGGTCGCCCCGACATAACGGCGTAGCCGCATAACGCGGCGTTAACCGACGCGAGAATCACGACGGGTGATTCTCGATAACGCTGCACCGACGCGATTCGATATAAAGCATATGGAACGAATGGAAATAGCGATGCGTCGTATAACCGCGCGGCTCAACGTTATAGAAAGCCCTGCGCGGTAATGCCCGAAAATCGACGCGACATGGGGCAACAAACAAACGAGAGCCTTCCCGACTAATTGAAGCTGCAGCACCAAAAGAGGTTCGCGGGCATGAAGCAACGAAGGCAACTGAATACCGAAGTAACCCGTAATTCGATAGTATGTACCCTTGGAAGCTGCACGGGCGCGCGTTCCAACGCCCATTTTAAGAGCGAATCTCCCTTAATATCGCAGCCGCGCTGCAATCTATTAAATCGCTCCCCAAACAGACGCGGCGCAAACAAGCGCGCCGAATCAGTTTACCTTCTTCAGATCCTTGCTGGCGTCGGCATCCTCGGCTTTTCGCTTCTCGGTGATCTTCGGCGCGGGCACCGCCACCGCCGCCTCCCGCAGGGGCTTCAAATCGACCTGCAAAACGAAAATACGTAAACCTCATTACTTATTCCATCGCGCTTCCTCCATTATATATACTGAAATAGCGGCGTTGACGTGATCTTAATTTTCTAAATATCGGGCCGCTTTTAACCGGCGCAAGCCGCGAGACGGTTAAAGTAAATCTGCGATGGATTAGCGGCCCGCGGGGGACGTCCATCGGATACAATGGACACCGACAAGGCATCATCGACCATTGTGTATCCGGATGTTGCCCGTCGATGTTGCCGCAGGCGCGAGAGCAGGCGGGCGGCACGCGGCAAAGGCAACGGGACGCGGGCATCGATTTATGGTAATTCGGTTAACTCGTCTCTATTTTACGCGCGCGTTTACGTTCCACATACTAATCCGGCGTTAATGGGACGAGTAAATACAGAGAGCAGTTTCCCCCCTCCTCTCCCTCCCCCTCGAAATCCGCGGGAGCATGATTTGACGCTTGATAATTCGACACTGCTACACGCCCGGCCGCCCGGTAATGACTATCCCTTCACGTCGATTCGCGAAAGGACAGGCGGGACGGACGGAAGGACAATTAATCGAGCAGGGATTTATCGTCAAATCTTAATCGGTATCGCGAATATTGACGCGCGAACTTGCTGAACACGCTCCTCGAGCGATCCGTTCGAAAGCTCGCGACGCTCGACGTGATCGGGCAACGCTTGAATTAGTAACCATTTCGCGCTTTCGTTTTAGCGTATATAATTTAGTTTTCCTAATTAACTTAAACGACAAACGCGAAAGGACAGGCGAAAGGAAGTGTGCCCCTTTCAGCCTCTTCCACTTTCCTACGCTTTCTGCATTTAAAGCGAAACAAGACGAATACTCCCCCGGGCCCGTAAGGCGAAAGGGGAGGAAACAAAAAGATTGAAGGTAATTGCAGAAAGTGCAGCTGAAACTTAAAAGACTTATGGTAGTACGTGGGGGAATTTTAGAGTCCAAGATGTCCCCCGTATACCATGTCCCTCGGAAATGTAGATGCAGTTCAGCTGAAGGTTAACACAATTACGCAATCGCGTGTCCCGCCCATTTGCATAACGAGGAATTAACGGGATTACATCGCACGTCCTATTAGCCGTCCGTAATCCTGTCACCGAGGGAGATATCTGGATTATAGGCAAACTTTTACAAATCTAAATTGCCAATACGAGCCCGTTGGAAAAGATTAGATGAGGGGAAAAAAAAAAAGAAAAATAATTATATCGGAATAGAAGAGACTGCGCATAAATTAAATTGCGGCCGGAATGTTGTCGAGAGTTGTATATATAAACTTGGACGTCACGGACATCCGAGAGGAACATTTTGCCACGGTGTTATCGGCATTGTGGTCCATCGAGTCCTGCGGCCTATTACGAAATTCGCTGCGAGCGTGTGAATCGAGAGCGGTTTTCGCGAGCCTGGGTAACATCAGCAGAGCAGCGTGCGGCCGACAAATGACGAACGCACGCAAATCCGGACGAGCGCGGACCGGTCGGGACGAATTAATAGCACCCGCACCGGCCGACGCGTCGAATCGAAATCGAAAGACCGATCGGACACGCGGGTGCCGTTCCGCAAACGTATCGCCGCGCATTCGGTGCGAATGAGGCTTTAGGGTCGGCTAGGGTCGCCCCTGACAACGCCCTTGCCTGCATTGCGGTAGCTCTTTCTCTCTACCCTGGGCGATATCCTTCCACCATAACGCCCGGGGAAATGCCCTGTACGAGGAGAAAGGAACGCGTGCGGAGGCGCACACGCGCTCATGGCGCAATCCTGATCTTGAACTCGCGCGAACGATTAAGCAATCCCGAGGTCGCGAAGCATCTCGCGAAGTGTACAAAAAAAAAGACAAAGAAGAAAATGACATGTCGACTCTCGCGTCGAGACACTTCTCGAGAATAATTTATGTCTGTCTGGACGTCTCTTGCGCATTTCGCGCTTTGATTGCGGAATTGGCTTAGGCCGCCCGCCGCAACTCGTCTCCCTTAAAATAGCCGAAAATGCGGCTCAAACAAGACTCGAAAGATCCTATTTTCACGGTACGTGACTGCGGCTGCGTCTCCATATGTGTACGTGTGTGCACGTACGCGCGCGTGCATACACACGGTCCACGAAGTGGTGAAAACTTTCTTCTATATATGGGATAAAAAAGAATGATGAATAACTTGCTCGACGCCGAATTTCCCCCTCCCACTGTATTCTGCGGAGCGATCCGCTGTTGTTGCGTCACACTTTTGGACCATTAAATCCCTCGGTAAACGTATAACATTAATTATTTGCATCCGGGAATTTCGAGAGACCTACCTAATGCGAAGACATTTGTCACGGAAATCCTGATTTTCGCGAGATGAACTTGACGAGAAGCTTACATAATATACGAGAATACATATATATGTAATGAGAAGTTTATATTATGTCGGAGTCGCTGTATTTATCAAATCTTATGGAGGAGACGATTTCCGAGGTAAAAGCGACCGCGGCGTTGCCGCGAACGTTTCTCGTCACGCGGTATTTATGAATAAAACCCGGGGAGCAGCGGCCGCGACAAAAGGGACGGAAGCGTCGCTTTTCTTCGGGAAAGCGGGACGCCCCATTGGGATTCATCCATCACCGGCGATATAATTGAGAAAGCAGATCGCCCGCATTCAGAATTTACATTTTCAGCGCCGCCGCTGAAACTCAATTTATCCGTTTATCCACCACGTCCCCCGGATGGACGGACAAGCCGAGGTAATACACTTCCGAGTCATTAGCGAGGGAGTCTTACTTTGTGTCCCGTTGATGCCGCGAATTTTTTTTCACGAATTTCCTGCGGTCGCACCGGCCGTTTTACCGGCCAAATTGCCTGTCCTTGTAACTTAATTTCGCGCAATTTACAAGATAAAAATGTGCGCGACGTTTTCAAGAATTCGAGAAAACTCCATTAACAATGTTATCATAAATGGCGTTAAACGAAAGCACGTGAATATACGTGTAACTTGTGATATCACGTTATGAAACGTTAGCTATTCGGTCTATTTTTAGACTGTGTAAAAACTCGGAAAAATTAATAGGCGACCAGAAAAAACAATTACGAGTCTTGTGACTATACGTATGCATAGTAAATAAAAACAATTATTATTTTTTTTCTAGCGAAGTGACCGCGCGCTACTTCCATATCAACCTTGACTGAAGCCGTCACCCAGAGAGATCTTTCTTTCACTGTGAGCGCGGCTTGCACACTATAACGTCTCAATTAATCGCGCGCGGAGCGCCGCCGCGTTACGGCCGACATTTAATCGCAGTCCCCTGATCGCGTGTAACGTTTAGTGCTGGCTCGTTAGTGTTTACGCGTTTATTACCGTGTCTCGATACATAACGTATAATAATTCCTAGATTGACGTTTCCGGCGTTCGATGACGAAGAACACGGAATTGGGAAATGAACTTGGGGGGGAGGCCGGCTATATGATTGAACGGTATTATTATTAAGTCGATTATCACGGCAATGGATCATTTCATTAGCGGCGCGAGCGCGTCCTCCGCTTTACTGCCTTCATGAATATTTCAAGGTATGCATGACTGGCTTAATGATTCCTGATAATAATAACTCGTATGGCCGCCGATTGATTCCATGCCTCGACGTCAAAAGAATTAGCGATTAAAACGTAACGTAACAGCGTTGACGATAGATATGAAGAGATGAAAGGAGGTATTATATAGCCGTTACCGCGACCGCGATGTAATGTTCGCATCGAAAAAACGCTCGAAGGCCCAATATTTCAATGGCCGATCGATCGGCATGGAAACAAAAAAAAAAGTGTTTGTCAGGCATCATCGGGCCGCGTTAATTAATAGTCGTTCCGAGTAAAACGGCCGTCCCATCGGCAACGGTAGCAATAATAGTCACCAACGTGACAACGATTTATCATTTACTGCGCGTTGCATCATAACCGGGCAGTCGTTAATCTTTATCACGAAGAAACTCGACATTATGAGCTACATAACAATAATACCATATTAATGGCCAATGGGATATAAATATTAATATCGAGGCATATTGATGCGAAAAGTGTTCACGGAACTGAGTGTGTGCTGAATGCGAAGAAAAATACAGTTGAAGAACTAAAGCAATCGTGCTAAAAGCTAAGTTCCCTCCCGTTACGATATAGCTGAAATATTTACAGCGGCGTAAACGAAACAGAATCGTATGCGTGAACGGGAGCGGAACGCGTGGCGCATTCGTGATTGAGACACCGCGGTTCGAAGGGCACGATCGCGTGTCAAACGGCGAGCGTTATTGTAGGAAACGAATTTATCCGCGTGCGTGTAATTCGCGGAATAGCAATTAGGGAGATATTCCCGGCGTACACGCGGCGGCGGCGGCGACGGTGTAAGATTTAAACGAGAAATGGCGCGGTCGGGAGAAAAGGTGCGGTGTTGTCTTCGCGTCTGCCTTATTATCCAAATTCGCGAGTAATTCGAAGCGGAACGAGCGCGATGGAGGCGGCGTGGAAGCGTTAGTCGCGGCTTTGTTAAAGGGGGTTTCACCTTTGCCGGCCGTAAAATTAGCCCTTGTTTCATGAATTTTTTTTAAGGAAAATTCTATTATATACAGTAAAACGCGAGTTTTTGCATAAATTTATGGTATTATTTGAACAGCAAAAAAAATATTTTTTATTTATATAAAAATGTATTTTAATGCCTCCAAATGGCGATTGAATGTGGCATGTTTTTCGAGCTGACAGAAGTAATTACAAAAAAACGAATTAAGATATCGACTTGATTCTTTTTTCCTCTTGATCCTAATACTCGCGTTTTACTGTATATAATAAATTTCCTGAAAAAAAATTTATGAAACGAGGGCTAATTTTGCGGCTGGCAAAGGTAAAACCCCCCTTAAACTCGGAACGCCTCATTTCCTAATGGACACGGCGTGAAGCCGGGCCTCGCCCCTTTCTCTGTCTCTCTCCATCGTATTTTCTTCGTCTCCGTCGAACCCGTGTGTCTCGTGACTCTCTC